GCCGCCCAGGGTGTCGCTGCAAATGCTCGAGGCCGTCCACGCCTGGGCGAGCCGTGTCTGGAAGTGGACGCCTAACCGTGGGCAGAGGGTTTCCACAGGGGACGGCCTTTGCTTGGACCCTGAATGAAATTCTGTCCCCGGTGACTGAAACTGTTTACGAAAACACCGAGAAGCGAGCCGGGCCGTGCGTCGGCTCTGCCCGGAACGCAGAACGCGGGCCGGCGCCTGGCCGCGGCTTCCACCGTCTCCTGCGTGATTTCTGGATCCGGGCCGAGGCCCTGGCGTGGCGGCGGCAGAGTCCGGGCACACCGGAGGGCGCTTCTCAGACGCAGCTGCTCCCGGACACCGGAGCGTTTCGCCCAGTTCGCCGTGGACCAGAGGTGAAGATACGTGCGGGGTCAGTCGGGTTCAAATTAGGGGCTCAGCTCTAACAGTCTGAGGAGCTGCGGAACCCCCAGCCCTTGGGGAGCCCCGGGGGGCCCAGGGGCCGGGGAAGGGTGAGTCCACCACCCGGCCCCTGGGGGGCGAGCGTGTACGATTCCCGCTCCAGGCCCTGGCGGTGGCCGCCGGAGCTGCCTCAGCTCTGAGCTCGGCCTGGCGGCCCTCGGTGCCAAGGCGCCCCGCTCCCCAGCCGCCGGCCCCAGAGAGCAATCATCGCGCTTCCCTGACTCTGTCCTTGGAGAAAGCAGCTAGCAGGTGCGCCCAGGGCACTGTCCTCGCCACGGACTCACGGACCTGAGGACAGGACAGCCCGGAGGGGAACCTCCAGCGAGGCTTCTTCGCTTTTAGGGAAAACAGCTAAATCCCAGAAAATGCGAAATGACGGGTTTGGCCAAGAAAGATCTTCCAGGGCCAAGAAAACACCACGCAGCAGAAGTCGGCCTGTACGTTCCAAGGGATTTCAACAAGTGCGGCGTGCAGGAGGGCTGTTCGCCTGCTCGCCAACAAGCTGCCGCGCGCGTTGGGGGCGGGAAGGAGATGAAAACTGTCTCAGTTTACTCCCGGCACCAGCGGGCCTCGCTCTGGGGCCAGGAGCGCAAGGGCGCCGTGGGCTGCCGACCGCACAGGCTAAGCTGGGCCCTGCAGGCCGCGGCGCCTTGCTCTGGCCCAGGCCGGAGGCGGGGTGCGTGCGAGGGAGGGTGACTCAGAACGTTCCAGACCCCGGGGAGGTGGCCCAGACTGTGCACCCTGGGGAGCAGGGTGGAAGAGACCTGGACGAATGAAAACCAGCCCAGGACGCCGGGGACAGCTCATCTGACCCGAGTTGTCAGCACGACCTGCTTTTAGGGATTTCCCAAGGGAAATTCTCGCATGTGTCATTTGTCAGAAGGAAACAGGTAGGCAGAGAACCTGCTTGTTTAGACGCCCGTCGAGTTGGGGGGTGGCCCGGACACCCTCGGCCAGGCGCAGGAGCGGGGGTCACTGGGGCGGGCAAAGTCGCCGCTGCATTCATTCGGAGCCTCTGAGGCCAGCAACCCGGCTGCCCTGGGAGCATCTCGGCCGGGCACGTCCTCCCCATACTGTCAGGATGTTGCGTTTCATCCCCAATCCGCAGCTGCAGGCCCCAGGCAAGAGCCCAGGTAGGCAGAATGACCCTAGGGGCCAGTGGACACACCTGGCCTGGACATCTGCAACGTCACCTCCACCCCGGGGGCCCTTAGCTGCACAGCGCCGGCCAGGCATGGTCCAGGAGGCCAGCTCTCGGCGCAGGGCCCAGCGGGCCCCCCCGATGTTCAGGGGCCTCAGGCCTGGAGCTGGGCACCGGGGACACCACCATCCCTCTAGGGAAAGGTGTGGCCATGTCCGTCTCGCTCCTGGACTCCTGGGCCGGGGCAGCAAGGCTTGGCTGCCCCTAGCGAAGGAGCGTCCGTGTGGGAGGAAGCTGGCAGGAGGCCGTGTCCACCCCACCGGGCTGCCCGCCGGACGCGGGTTCCTCGTGCAGGTCTGCGATGCGGGGTCGCCTGCAGGGCGCAGGGCCAGGCACGCTGAGCACCGCGGTCATCTCGCCGGCCATCTCGCCGGAAGGAGCCCGCCTGCGCTTGGAGCCGGCTCGGCAGGGCGCCCCCGGGCCTCTCCTGGGCTGCCCAGGCCCTCCAGCGGGCTCGGCTTCCCTGGGGGTGGCGAGGCGGAGCTGAGCCAGGTTTCCCGGGCCGCCCACTCCCCGGCATGAAAGCTTCTGAGCGGAACCTAAGAAGAGCGAGGAGATCGCCTTTTTGAGATAAAGAAAAGCTGCAAGCTAACGAAGGCGCTGTTTGTCCGAAATGAAAGTCACCAAGAGTAACGTCCTGACGGCGGTTCTCGGGCACCTTGGTGTCCCGGGACGCCGGCCGGCTCCTGCCCCGTCTGCCCTGTTCCGCGGTGGGCTGAGCGCTCGGGCAGAGCGAGGAGCTGTGCTGACACCGCTGGATGGTTTCACCCAAAATCAAGTCTTCTCTGCCACTTCTGTTAATTTCCATAGTAAAATGTAGTCCCAGTTTAAAGCCTTTGGCCAGTCCCTGGGACCACTCACTCACTTTTTTTTTTAAGATATTTTTATTTATGCATATAAGATCTGGGGTGCAGACCAGAGGTGCCTGGTTGAAAGGGCCCCCAGAGACAGGGTGGGGAGCAGACAGGTGGATCCACTGAAACCCGCTGGAGGGATACGGGAGGGGTCTGCTGCGCCCTGGGGGTCCCCCCTGGCCGGGGATCGGCGGGACGGCTCCACAGTGCTGCGCGTGAGCCTGTTGCAGCGCCTGGGAGGGGCCCGGTTTTCTTTTTGTTAGTTGAGGGACCCCCAGTGACAGCGGTGACCGAGACTTAGCGGTGCGGGGCCACGCCCTTCAGACGCCGAGGCCCCACCGCCCGCGGGGTGGGGACCCCCCCCCTCCCCCCCCCGTGCCCTCCGTGCTAGTCAGATCTCCGGTCTGCGGCTGTGCTCCCTGGGCTTGCTGCTCGCCACTCCGCACAGCCCTGAGGCCGTCTGGCAGCTGTCTTTCCCCTTCCGAGGCATTTCCCTCCGCACCGTCCCCGCCAGCTCCATCTCGGGGTGCACGTGGCAGGAGGCCCTTTGTGACGGCTGAGCGGTATCCCAGGGTGCATGCAGACTGCGCTCCGGCCGCCCCTCTGCCCGGCACCCGGGGGTTTCCGCAGTGTGACCGCCATAAACCCACTGCGGTGGGTGCGGGGTGCTCACGTCCCTCTGAACTAGTGTTTTGCGTCTCCAGGTAGGCTGAGAAGCCCGATTTGGGTCCCACAGGAGCCTCCAGGCTGCCTCCCGGGCTGGCCGTCCACACCCCGCCCGCAGGGCGCACCCCACCAGCACCCGGCCCTGCTCTCTGGGTCTGGGAGTCGCTCAGGGGCCGCGTCGTCTCCAGCCCCGCCCGCCGCCCGCGGGCAGGTTTGCAGGCCCCGCCAGCGTCGGGCAGCACAGATGCCATCTTGCATGCTTGTCACCAGGTGGTGCTGTTGCAGCGCCTTGGGAGTCTGTGCTTTGTGTAGGTTTGCCTCAGCCCCGGGCGTGCAGGTGACTAAGCCACACCCCAGGAGAGCCAAGGACGTCTCGCCCCACGCTCCTCTAAAGCAGAACCTTCAGGAGACACCGCTAGGCTGCAGGGACCTTGGAGGGAATCCCCACGACCGCCCAGCCCTGGCCCGTCCCCCTGGCTGTGGCACAGGGAAGGAAACTGAGTCTCGGCAGGTGCCCCGATCCCCAGGTTCAGGCGGCCAGTGGCCGAGTCTTTACTGGGGAAATCGCAGGGGCTCCCCAAGCAGGTGCGCCCCAGGAGGAGGTCCCTCTAAGGGGGAACAGGCGGTTCCCGCTTCCAGTGGGGGTAGCTGGAAGCGGCCATAGCCATTCAGCAAATATTCCGGGGGTGTCCTCTGGTCCTGCCCGAGCTCAGGCCCGGCCCACTGCCACAGCCCCTCAGCCTCTGGCCGGCTCTGACTGCGTCCTGGCAGCTCCCCTGCAGACACCTGGGGGCGGGGGGGGGGCATCCGGCCCGGAGCTTCCTGCCAGAGGGTCCCAGGCAGGCCTGTCTCTGCTCCCCGCCCACCCTGAGGGGAGTCGCCCGGTGGTGGGCTGAGGCCTTTCCAGGAGCCCAGCTGTCATTTACCTGGCGTCTGGAGGGAGGGGAGGAGGGGCAGGGACCTGCTTAAGGTGCCATGGAGGTTCCCGCATCCAGCAAGGCCCCCCCCGCCACCCCCCCAGGCACCTGCGAAGCTGTCGGCACAGGCCACTCTGGGCCCGGCCAGCGGCCTCCCCTCCCGCAGCCCAGGCAGCCCCGGGCGTGGCCCTCCTGCCCAGGCAGCTGCGCTTGGCTGTTCAACAAAGAATTCCATGGCGAGAGCTCCAGGGCACAGGCCGCTCTTCACTGCAGAATGGGGTCCTGCACAGGGTGGGGGTCTGCAGTGTCACATCTCCAGGTAATGCAGACGCCAGGACCGCCAGGGGTCGCCAGGGGCCAGCAGACAGGGTGGGGCTGACGGCCACAGAGTCGGGTTGGACCCAGGAGCTGGACACCACAGCTTGGTCCCCAGGCCTGGGCACTGAGACCAGAGTTAGGCAGGAAAGCAGGAAGTGTGCGGCCAGGGAGGGAGAGGACAGGAAAGGCCCCGCACAGAGGGGTCCTGGGCGGGAACGGGGGCTGTGCGCTTTACCCAAGAGGCAAGGGGCTTTACCCAAGACGGCCCGCCTGTCTTCTGGTCAGCAGCCCCAGTTGGGGCCAGGGCCGGGGCCTCGACCAGGTGATGCCCAGTTCTTGAAAGGCAGACGGTGGACGCGGCCGTTTGCGTGCAGGGCGTCCTCAAGGCTGGGCCCCGTCCCCTTCACCCCTCCCCCCCAAAGGACACCTCCCCGGAGCCTTCTGGCCCCTCGGCGGAGGCCACGCTCCCAGGCCGCCCGCCTGGCCCACGCAGCCCCTCAGCAAGCCTGTCCCTCTGGGCAGCTCGCCCTGACCGGTGCCTGTGCGTGTCCAGCACTCCTGTCCTTCCCCGGTGACCCCGCTCCCCACATGCGCCAGGTGTGTCTGTCTCCCCCGGGAACTTGCCGCGTGCTGCTGAATGGGGAGCTCTGGGGACCCTCCCCAGGTGGACCCCGACC